GGGGACAGGAGCAGAAGAGCAGCAGCAGCTCTTCCCTCTGCAGCCTTGGAATCTGCAGCATGGGCAATCTGGAAGCAATGACCAAATTAGTGCCTCAGTACTCCTCTGTGGAGGTTGACAAGCAGTTGTATTTCAAACTTGAAGAGAAAGTTAAAATGAACAAGAGGAAAAAGTCTGAAAGATGATGGCTTCTGCAAATGCTCAATTTATGTTTTTATTGACTTTTTATGACTAGTCCCTTCTATTTAAGGTATTTGTAGCTCAGTTCTTTATATTATCAAATTTTACTGCCCTTTTGCACTGAATAATAATCCTCTCTGGAATCATGCATAATTTACTATGCAAAATGCTATTTAGTGCAACCTAAGTTATCGAATATGGCCCAAATCCTGGTTGTGATTCTGGACAATGGTGGGATATATTTTGCTCAGAGACACGTTTATCCCTGTGCCTTTAAAATACTTTTTCCTTGAACTGCTGGTCATACTGTGCAGCTTTTGGTGGCTTCAGGAGTAAATTACTCATGTGCCAAGCCCTAGTTTCCATGTAAGAATGTACAATCTCCATGTCAATGTGTTCTCATTTTACAACTTCTCAACTGAAGCATCTGAAAGCAGAGGCAAAACTATAGCATGCAATCCCAACAGTGCCAAACAAAGCATTTTTCTAAAATGCATTCCATTCTCCTTAAAGAAATGCAAATTCTGTGTAAACTAATCTACATGAATGAGCCTACTTTTGATCACACCATCTCTCAAATAAGTAATACTTATGATCAAACAAATGGGAAGAGTGGATATACATTGTGGGAACTAAAGAGAATTTAATTTCAATGTGATTATTCGGGGGTTGAGAGGAAGAAACCTTATGCTTATTACAACTCCCTGAAGTATGTTTTTTCCTCACTTGACATGGAGTTTGCCAAAACAGATAATTATGGATACCCTAGAAATAGTTTGAAAGAATAAAGGTGTCATCACAGAAGTTTTTTTTAGCATTTCGCCTTCTATCCAACTGTGCAATTCAGAACTCACTGAATTTTATTACTGTGTAACAAGTGCATACTGCATGAGAAAAGCAGTAATTTCCTGTCGTTTTCAATTTCAAACTATTTTCAGGACATTGATGCTAATTACAGGAACAATTCCTCTTCCCATGAAATATCAATGTAACACACACATGCATACAGAGCAACAGAGAGGTTTCAGTTCAAACTGAGATTTATGGCTGTGCAGCCCTGTGTGTGCTATAGAGGAAGCAGCATCTTTATCAACAGGGAAGTGCTATCTATTACAAAGATCTGTGTGCACAGAGATGTGTTACTATAGGTTCACATCTACTGCTTTCAGGATAGCACGTTGGTGGGTTCAGAGATAAACCACATTTCTCTACATACCAGTTTCTCTTGGCATGGCCATAATTGCAAGTTTCCTCAGTAGTTTTCTGATACCCCAAGAAAGTCTGCAAATTTATTTCTGTCTCCATTCTACAGACATGGCTTAAACAATGCCAAGTTTCTCAGACACCCTTGAACCTCAGGACACTGTCAGAAGTAGTGTGTAGCTGTAAGATCTGTTGTGGTAGAAAATAAGGTTTAGATTTCTAAATATATTTGGATATCTTGTGTTATAGATGGCAGAATTCTTTAAAAGCCTCTACAAATCTGACGCCCTCTGAAATTAAAAAAAATTCAAACAGAAGTTAGGCACAGAAAGGCCTGAAGAGAGAAGGTTTCTTCCCTGTCTTCACAAGCATATTTTCTTTCCTTCCCAAACAAGATGTGAAAAATCCAAAATACACAGATGACATGTTTAAAGTCAGTAGAGAAATCTGTATCCAGAAGAAAAAACTGGGAGGCAGGAGCATATGCAAGACAGTACATTTACATTTACTTTAGAAATTTTTGAATGAGCTATATAGAAGATGGACTATGGCTCAAAGAATGGAAGGGAATATCAGCTTAAAGAAATAATTTTCATTGAACATCCTTTCTATGAAACAACTGCTATATCTCAAGATAACTTTTCTTAATAAATTCTGACAACATTAAACTAATGTGCATGTAAAGTGATAAATTATTAAATCTGCTTCATCAAAATAGCATTTGATTAAAATTATTTTAATATTAGCAGTCTTTAAAACATTTTAACTAATTTAAAACTGTAAGGTCCCTAGACAATGGCATATTTCCTATTTGCCAAAACACTTGCTACATACAGCTAGTTTACTATATATAAAATAAAGAAATGCATTAGTCAACTTTGTTATGAATCACTCGTTAAGCTGGTTAAAATATAGAACTGCACAGGAATAAAGGTAATGATTTTCCTCAGCCAACCATGTATGATCATACTCAATATACATACAAAGGATGCTACAGTACTGCAAAAATATACATATTCAAGCTCAGACTCTCATTGTTATTATGGAGTATATGTACTGTACATATACAACAACTGTGCTGAGCACTTGGGCAACCTGTACTATCAATAGCCAAGGTCTAATAAAAGATAAGATAGACAAATATAAAAAATCTCATATATAAGCTTTAAAAGGGGAGGGGTGGTAGGCTAACAGAAGTGGAACAGAAATGGTAACAAATTTAACATATGTCATTTGATGTTAGAAAGAAGAAAAATGACAGGCAAAGGACAGGAAAGAAAGGAAAACAATAAAAAAAAAAGTATTTTTACAGACTGCAAAGGTAGGACATTGGCACAGCTCCGGAAACTTATGCTTTAGGAACTTCAGGTTTGTCACAATAAGATGTTGACAGCAAAATGTCATTAAAGCAAAAATGCAAAATGTGTGGGCTTTACATCCTTTTACAGAAATAGTCTGGTCTCATGAGAAATGCATAAAAGAACAAGGAGATTTGTTATACAGAGTTTCAACATGGAATATGCCACAAATATTCCCTTGTTTCATAGCTGTCAAACAGCTATGAAACCCTACCATCTTTACTGTCAAAAGGGGAATATAATATGGAATAGCAGCCAGTAAAGTTTATGTAGCTAAAACACTAACGCAAATTAGCCTTACAAATAGGGACCAAACAATATGCTATATGAACTTCACTACTACAACTATATTTACAATGATATTGTGATGTAAGGGTCTGTGCCAGTTTCCAATTAGGAGAAAAGTAGATCATATATAGTGCCCCACACTATTCTCTGTAATACAGAGAAAAAAACTAGGCTTTACTAGCACATATTAAAAATATGACTGGAGCACTCTTTTCAAAATATTAGCAAGAATTTTTAATGTATATATATTTGAACTACTTTTTCTTACACAGGAAAAAAAACTATTTAGAAATCACTTGAAAAGGTAACTATTTTCAAATTCCTAGTTTATCATTTCTGCTCCGTGATACGGTCAATGCACAGCCCTGCAGGTAGAGTACATAGCTGTTAAATTATTTCTCAGATCTATTACCTCACAAAACTAAAAATATAAGACGTCCTGTAACTCTGACTGCATCATTAATCACAGCAATCTTTCACTCTCCATAAACTGCTTTTTCTGGAAGGTGAAATATTTAGAACACTATTGTTCCACAGTTTTCTCACCTGTGGAGACTTCTTGCTCCCTATTTCAAAAATGAACCAACATTTCTAGCACCAGAAGGAGTTTTATTGCATCAATTCCAGACCCAAGGCTGCTTGCCTCAGAGCAGGTTACCTCCAAGCAAGTATCACAGCAGCCTGGCTCACAGAAATGATAGAACAAAAGACACAACACTTCCCATCTTCAAGTATCACAGTAAGTGGTAATTTCAACAATAAAAGTTGTTTGCATACAGTTGGTATAAGCCAGAAGTAATTAAAATAAGTCCAAACTTAGATGGAACAACTGTTGCATCAGTTCCATGGCTCTATGTAAGTAACTAGATTGGAGAGGGAAGGGAAAAAAATTAAAAAATAGAAAAACAAACCCATATTTACTACTTCCCTGCATAGGTTTAAGGATAAATTGAACTTGAATTTGGTAACTTTTCATTCTTGGGTGTATTATAGCCCTTACTGTCTCTATAGCCTCAGTGTAAAGTGTGAAAGAGAGGCAGAGAGAATTAGTTGAAAAGCTGTATGTTGTGTGGGAGCTTGTTTCAATGAGTTACATACAGTTTGTCAGCTTCAGCTGACAAGCTTCCCCAGGTCATCTCAACGCACAGACAGTCAGGACAACTTTACACAGGCCAGGACATTCCAGAAGATCTCACTGACCAAACAGCTGGAGATGCCCACGTATCTTCACTATCCTCATGGGTCTGAACTTGACACAGTTATTCCTGATGCAAGTCAAGTACCTGCCTCCATGGGTGTAATTTTGAATCTTCTGCAGCAAACAGTGTCTTCTCTCTCATTCCTAGCTGGTGCTTAGCAATTTGTAATAGAAATGCTGGGAAAGTCATGTATGTGTGTGCATGCATCTGCATACATCCAGATCAGCAGTCAGACTTGTTTCTAAACTCTTTACAAACTCATCAGCATGAAAGACACTGTGGGACATTTCTCTGCTTTCTCTTATGGAAAAAGACATAGCTGCAACTCCCTGTAGAATCAGCAATGTAAAATGCTAGTGCAATTGGTTTTCCTGTTTTGATGAATCCACTGGCAGCTGAGTTTGAAACCCACATTTTAATATCAGCTTCTATGAAAAAAATCTTGCATTAATTTAAAAGCTGTAGCGGTAATTTAAGAATTTTTTTAATTGAAGAGACTCTTCAACAGTTATGATTATCTTAAAGAACGTATGTATATCTTCTTAAAAGAATTCACAGGGAGAATGACTGGAATAATCGAGTTTATATTTCCACTTATTTTACTTTTTTCTAAGTGTTAGATATCTAGTCAGTATGTATTTTCATCAATTAGGCAAGGAACATACTAAATTCTCCCCCACAAGTGACAGATTACTGCACAGATGAGTCCACTACAAATTACTGATGGTAGTTTCATTACAACAATTGCAAATTTAAAGACATTTCATCTCACCTCAATGGTGGGTGGATCTTCTCTCTTTTTTCTTATCCATGCTGGAAAAAAAAAATCAAATGGATTATTTCAAAGATCACAAAGAGTATTAAAACGCAAAATTATTATGAATTTTTAACAGAAAGAAAGTATTTACGAAAAAAATTACAATAGAATTCACCACAACCGGACAAATCTGTCATCTCCCAAAATGTAGGCACAAGATGTTGTTTCCTGTTTCAATACTTAGTCTTCAGAGAAAGGAGGCGTGGGGTATGGTGCCACCTCTTTTTGGAGACCTTTGGCACAGTTTACATATCACCTCAGCCGTCAAAATAAGGCTTAAAAAACAGGGCTTATGGCACAGGCTTATAGTCGAGCTTGCAACACAGAGAAGGTACACCCTAAGAAAATGACAAGCTGATGGAAAGTAAGAACAGCCTCAGACCACTCTGGAAAAAAAGGATTCCTGTACATGCTTGAGGTACTCTTAAAGCTGAAAACGTTTTTATGTTACTACCAGGTAATGCAGTAACCTTTTAATGCTCCTACCAGAATTCTTTTACGGGTATGAAAGGTAGAGCCCCCTGCCTGCGGGACTGCAGAGCCCGGACTGAGGCACATGGTGTGGCTCTGTGGGATTACCCACTGCGACTGGGGGAAGGATCCTCCACTGCAGTTAATTCATGCTGGAAAAGACAGCAGAGGAATGGAGGAATAAAAGCAGTGGTGATGACAGCTGTCCTGTTGCTCAGGCTTTCTGAACAAGATCCAAAGACATTTGCCCACTCCCATCACTAACATTCCTGCTAGCTGGGACTGTCAGGAGGCAACAATACAGACACTCCATTGCAGACACTGACAGGTCGCACTTTGTACAGTCAATGAATTAAGAGAGAGCTCCAGCTATTACAGACGTTAGTTAGAGGAATGACCTGACAATACTTTTTAGAAATAGCACTACTCTAGCATTTTTTCATGCCTTTTTATTCCACACAATTGGTTGGATACTTCAAAGACATTTGTCTTTTCTGCCCAAATTTTTCAAATTACTCAGTAGCAGAATGCAAGTAGCCAGTAATGAAAAGAATGACAAACAAGGAAAACCACTTCCAAGAGCTGAGACACTGCAAAATGTTATTTCATATATTTGTTTTGATAATTAAGTTTTTGGTTACTATGCTTGAAAATTAGAGCAAAAATTACATTTTGCTATAACACACTCAAATTCCTGGCCTCACTTGTTGCCGTCTATAAAGTTTCAGAAATGCTTTAAGAAGTAACTATTCCATATTTTAATTTTCTAATACCATCTGTGCTGCATTTTGAGCGGAACCAAGGAATTATTTAGACAAGCCTAAGACACTAGAACCTGCACAGAGTCATAACATCATCTCACTTCTGAAAATGCAGTTCCATAGAAGGTGAAACACTAAACACCATGGCTTCAGCAGCAGTATGCAACTGACTTTAGGGAGAACAGCTTCCAATTAATATATGAACAAAGGGAAACAAACAGTAAAATAGCTTGGAATTTAGCCAGGATGGCGAGGCCAGCAGCCTTGGTTGATAGTAAATTTTAATGGTAAAATAACTGTAAAGATATGAAGCAAGGTCATACTTTTGGTTCTTCACTATCAGATGCCACTTCCTGAAGATATGTACTTTGAAATATCTTTCTCAAACTACTTTTCTTAAAAGCAGTCCCTGACATCTCTTCTCAGTGGTCCTAACAAAAAATAGATCCAATTCTGTCATTGTGGATAAATGACAGAGCTATGAACATCAACATCACCCTTTCTGCAAGGTTTATGTCACTGGAAAGAAAACCAGCTCATTAGGGTAATTCAAAATACAACGAAGTGATTTTCTATTAAATCTATAGAACTAGAGAACTTTTTACACGTACCTGTAGCACTTACAAACATTTAAATTTTACAAGGATTTCAAACTGCAAAATCTGGCAAGATGAGAGACTAAACTGAGACTGTCACTTCTCAGCTGGTAGCCTTGCATACATTCTGTAAAAAAACCAACCATGCTATTGAAGGAAAATCTTGTCATACAAGCCTTTTCTCCTGACAGAAGTTACTTTTGTCTGTACTAAGCAACAGTTCCAGAATACTGAAATACTTAGCAACATCATTCAAAAAAAAGCAAAAAGTAGTAGAGATTTCAGATATAGAAAAGTGTGTATACTAGACACTGATCAATAAAAAATACAGCTGGAGAAAAAAAATACTAGTTCAAAATGTCTCATAAAAAATAAAGCTTTAAACCATCAAAATTTAACAAATTACTTTCAACAAAATATCATCTTCTATCTTGCCATGCTTTGCTTCTGTATATAGAAGCACTATAGAAGGATAGTACCACTGTTTTCAATTCCACAGCATGGAAAAATTTATCGAATTTTTTTGAAATTTCCAGTATTCTCTTAAAAGATCAGCCGCATTTTAATTACAAACGATTATACTAACTGACCCCTAAAGAAAGAATTTTAAATACTCCAAAAATTAAGCTGCAGTTAGAAAGTACTGCTGAAATATAAACATTACAATATATTTTCTTTCAAGAGTGCCTGTCACTTTTAGCAGTTATTTAGCTAATGATTTTCAGATGAACGGAATAGTTCTAGTACATGATTTTATCATTTAATTACCTACCTCATCTAAAAAGCTGCAAACAAAACAGCGAAGGCAACGCAAGCACATATGTTCTGAACAGAGGTGAAGTAAGGACCACTACACAATACACTTTCATTCATTAGCTGAACTCAGTACCAACACTCAAAAGCAAAGAAACAAACCTTAATTTAGGCAGACTTTTCATAACAAACATACCATAGAAGGACAGGATCTATTTAAATACATTAATAATGAATACAGTTTTAACACTGTGCTCTTTTTCTTTCCTGTTATAACAACACTTGAAGACATGGTTTTATTGGGGCTATTAATCTTCCTTTCTTCTAATAAATGCCAGGAGTACAAATATTTTTCAGCTTAATGATATATAAAACTTGTTGGCACAAATATTGATATTATTTTCTGAATTACTACAAGTAAATTAATTTTAATATCTCTCATGAACTGCACAAGAAAGCCATTATTTAATGAAAGATTTCTTCATTGCTATGTAGTTGAGGGAGGATTATAGTATGAGAATTTACTAAAATCTTTTTATAACCACAAGGTGAAGTTAGTTAGATTTAACATTATCATATTCCTCTGTGCCAATCCACTTCTCATATATTCTTCATAAAGGTCAAGATGCGATACGAGCTTAAAAGCAAACATCACCTGATTTCAGTATATTTTAGCACACTGCACTTTAGCATCTAATAGTTTTATCAGTCATTTTAAAAGTACATTTTACTAATAATTCACCTGACCACTCCTTAATCTTGGGGATAAGAGTGGGAGGACTCTACTAAATTCTCACCAGTTTTTATGTTGTTCTCTTTGAGACAGGAGGATTTTTAAAAGTCTTTCATATCTTTGATTTTTAAGTAATCAATAAAGTTTTCGTACCCAACACACGGTTCAAAAAAAGCACCAACACTCATAACTCAGGTGTACGAGAAATTCATGGTAGCAAAGGGAAAATGAAGGTGTACAGATATATAACCAATTTCCTACTGATGTTTAGGTTGAACAAAATTCAAGTAAACAATATGTTGAAGATTATATAATCTCCATTCTCTTTGGGAAATATATCTGTGTGTACAGTTGAGTAAAGAAAAAGCTCTTGCACCTTTCTTTATGATCTGCATTACACCTTTGGTGAATGCACTTTTAAATTACTGAACAGCTTTATACCATAGTCAAATATTTGTGGATGGAAACAAGGTAGGTAGGTGCTTTATTACATTTTATTTGAACAACATATGCAAATATGCGTATACTTAATTAAAAGCTGACAGTTATAGCTGGGAAGAACTGTTACATGACATTCCCATTCCCTAAGCTAACAAAACACCTTCACTATTGTCAGCCAAGATGTTTTAAACCTGGCAGAGAAGGTAACATGTATGCACTGAGTGCAACCAAAATATCTGCCCCCCAAAGCTTTGGCAAAATGAATTACTGCCTCCATTTAAAACTGCTGCTTTCAGTTTTATCTGGATGCACTCATTCTAATTCCACTTCTGTCTAAAAGGAATTTTGCAAGTAAGCTGGACATTTCCCATCTTAAGACATTTGCATTCTTTCTCAACAGCACTCATTTGCATTCTTACTAGTATGCATGAAATTTTCATAGAACTTTAAGACTCCTACTGGCAGATAACACATTACAAAACCATGAAAGTGAACATGCAAATTAAGACTCCCATAAATCCCTAAATGTTACCAAGAAAAAGAAAAGAGAGATTAGGAGTAGATGGCAATAAAATGCTGCATGAAGCATGCCATCTCCTGAATCTTTGTGGTATGTACAGATGAGCACTCATGAGCACTACTGACATGTCTTGAGGAAGTAAATTATACATTCTTCAGTAGGTGAACATTCAGAACCAAAATACAGAAACATTATATGTTGTGTGCATCCATACTGCCTAAGGAAAAGTAGGCACTCACACTTTGAAGTAAAATATAAGAGACTTCACCAAAACAAAATCAGACAATATTTGTATTATACATATGGATTGCATTCTAAATTTAAAACTATAGTACAAGAGGAAATATACTTTTAAATTTTAAAAAATAAAATTAATTTAATTTTATGTGTACAAAGAACTAACACTAAGGATAACACAAGGGATTCTATTTTAGTTTTACAAAAGCCTGAATGGACATTTCAGAATTTTTCATAGAATTCACAGGTCTGAGAATGTAGATAATTCAATCCTGCAGAGCACTTAAAACTAACATCTTCAGGATAAAATTTCCAGACAACTCCTTCAGGAGTAAACCCTTGGCCTTGTATTCAGTAAACTCCCAGGACCAGTACACAGAGTAAAAAAATCATTTTGCACAGATTGCATCTGTGATTCGGATGATGTTTTATAGCTTTCCACTTGGTTTCCTTTACCTTACTACATGTTTAGAACTTGATAAACAGCACCAGAATCCGTTCCTTAGGTTACCAGCTGTCCAAGTGGAATGTCTTAGGTACAGAATGATATTTAACTTGGCCCCTTGTTCAACTTCTCTACAGCCTGTTCCCACTCCTTACACTATCCTTTGTCCCTGGTTTTGTGAAAGTTCTCCTCAGACAAGTGATGCCTGCAAGTATTTCCAGGGACAGTACTTTTATTAATTTTGGTCACAAGAGGTTTCTTTTTCTAGTCATAGTCAGTCATACAGTTGTGCACAGTAACAAAGAAAGAGAAAGAGTGCTGGGATGACTGCTTTTAAATGAGGTGGCCATTAAGAATTGTCCACAAGTAAAAAAACCTGAGTCCTGACAGAACAAAAACAGTACAGATAAAAGCAGCTCTCTACAGGTCCCAAGAAAAGGAGATAAGGCAACGGACTCTTCAGCACAGTCCTAAAAGTGAAAAGCCTGAGAGGGATAGGAAGGAGACCTAGCCAAAACTTAAGCAGAGGACATGGATGTCAAAGAACATACACAGAGTTTGAAAAGGAGGGCCCTGGAGATGTGTGTGCCCAGCAGAGTCCAAGATCAAAGAGAAAACAAAGTAAGAAATATTAAATAAGTTTCTAACCTTATATTCATCTCTTACTGTTCAGAGGAAACAGAAAGAATTTTAGAACTTCTGCAAAGTCTCAGGCTATTTGCTGGAATGATCAGCATCCATAACAGCACGAATTATAACATGAACACCCATAGAAAGAATGTACTGGGAAATTTTCAAGCATCTGGACAGAAGACACACAGGGAAAGTTCAGAACAGGTCCTGTAGGCCTGGGAAACTTCTAGAACAATTTTAAAGAGGAAAAAAATTGGGACAGAAATTTAAAGAGCATTTCAGCAAAGAGTGTCTAAAAATCTTGAATTAAACTGCTTTTACTCAATAACTGGCTTCTATAACAGTATTTGAACTATCTACACTTTTCATTCCTTCTTATTTTTAACTAATTCAGATTTTTTTCTTTTATAGGAGGCAAAAACGAAGTAGTGGTGAATTGAAATTTAGAGCATCCTATATCCCTCACACCCCACAATATGTAGCAAAGATATAATAGTTCTTTGAACAGCTTCTATACCCAGAGCAGACGTATCAGTTTTGGCTTCTTAAAATTCAACATCCACAAAACTGTTTGCAAAGGTTAGCATTGGACGACAAAAATAAGTACAGGCTAGCCTTTTTCCCAGAATTCCCATCTTCACCTCTCAGAAGCATAGACACCCATTCCTGCTTAATAAATGCATCAGGGGAAAAAAGTATGCATACATCTCTTCTTTCTAGAGAAATTCAGTACTGTTGTGTTTGAGGAATGGTACTCCCCAATTTAGTTCTCCAACAAAAGCACACTGCTGCCTGCTTGCTCCTCCTCTTCTACCTTTCCCCACTAAGGGTGGCCAGGAAGGAGAATGGGAGGCACAAAAAGCAGAGATCACAGGGTGAGATAACAATTTACTGGAAACAGCAATGAGATAAGAAAACAAACATATGTTAATACTAATAGTAAAAGCATACAAAACATGCAAAATGCTCACTGAGGATGATGTGAGATGACCACAGCCATGTTTTTTCCCAACCCGAAGCCACGTCCTTTATCTCAGAAGCCAGAGTTCCCTTCCCCTACTTCCAGCAATAACCTGAGGTGGTATTTGTATAACATCTGGATTCTGGCCACACCCCGTCAGCCACACCCTCTCCTGGCGATTGCAAAAAAATTAACTCTGTCCTTGGTCAAAATCAGGACAAGTACTTAAGAGGAAAAGATTACTCAATCTGCAAATTTTCCTTGCCTCTGTGAATTCTTTGTATTTGCTGACAATATCACAAAGGGAAAACCTCACAGTTGCAAAAATGAGGAAGTTAGGCAATCAAACTGTAAATACAGCTCATAAAAACAGGACTGGCTAGTTAATTGTTTCTTCTCTCAAACAAAACTGAACAGGATGCCTTGATTTGAAAAGTGTGTTTCAGATCTGGCAGCTGCAGCTTTTTAGGTAAGTCCATATGCCCATGAGGGTACATGATACTTGACTTCAACATCTTGTCACACACAACCTCCCAAAAATCTGCAACCTTTCAGGCACCACAATGTCAAGTCATATGGATTTGTGCTAAATTTCTGAAGAAGAATATAGCAGAGGCTTTTTAGTACTACACAGATCCCAACAGCATGAAGCAATGCTTTGTATAGCAATTTGGTTGAATACTGCAGTCTAAGACCATTTGTGAAAGGACAACTAGCCCACAGCCATCTGAGGTACTCTTACTGTCTGTGCTGTGCTCCTGTTAATTCCAGCCAAGTGCAGAATTGTCCTGGATGGGAACTCATTCACAGGAGAGCAGAGTTACCTGAAGCTTCGTATATGCTTCTTGGTGTCTGTGGTGCAGTGTTTGCAGTCACAGAGAACTAAGATGAGCACTGATGGCTAGGGAACCCTTGGATGAGAAAAAAGACCTTCAGAAAGATGGATAAATAGCATTCATCTATTCAATCACCAGATGATTTAGTTAGGACAAGCCAAAGAGGTTGCTGCTCTCCTTCAGAAGATAGCTCTCTTGGACTGACAAAGAGCCAGAAACAATTAGAGCAAGACTTGACAACTCACTGTGGGTACTGCAGCAGTAGACAACAGAAACTGCTGATACTGTAGTTTCACCATAGTTGGCAAACACTGCCAGTAGTGTTGAAATACCTTTCAGAAGTTTTCAGCTCTTAATACTAGCCTAAGCTGATCACAGTAAAAATCCTAGGAATTAGTGTAATGATAGATAGTACAAGACAAGAATGTTTTTTATTTCTCTACTGACTCCATGAAGGGAGTGGGCCTGAAGTTTTCTCTTTGCTCAGTATCATCTCCCTCACAGAAGAGCATCAAGCATAAAGAAAAAAAGAATGAGGTAAAGCAAGTTTACTAAGGCATTTCCTCAAAACATGTTGTAGACTTAATTAATTTGCAGCTCATTGACAAATTAAACCACAGTAATATCTGTGTATAAAACCAATTTTTCCTCCACCAATACTTCTAATCTCTTTCGGAACTCACACAAACTTCCAGCAAGCAGAATAGTCAATGACAAAGAATTCCAGAGCTTAAATATATACTGCTTAAACTCTGTTTGCTTTAAATCTACCGGCTTCTGAGAGATGCCTACATATTTTTGTCTCCAAAAAGCATTTTGAGTGATGGGTGATTTCAGGGATTCCTTGCTTATGCTGCAAAGTCCTGGATTTCAAGACACATTTAACCCCACACTTGGCTCAAGCACCTACCAACCTTAAAGACCAACACATACTGCTTCTCTTGTTTCTCTCTTTCTCCAAGAGCTGATCAGCTAATCCTAAGGAAATGCACAAGCTTCCCTGAAATTTTATTATATCCCAAATTTTCAGACAAGAATGTAACTCAGTAGCAGTTGGACAAAATGGTTAATTATTAACAAGTTCTCCAACTCTCTACTAGATTGCACAAGTGAGAATGTGGGAAACCAAATACACCATACAAAAAGCAGTCCCATCACTGTGCCTCCAATATGTCGGTCAACTATTAAACCTACATATCAACACTGCAGTGAAGGAATAATAAGGAAGTTTTGTATTATTTAATGCATTTCGTGCTGCTTATTCAGATCCTCCACAGGCACAAATACTTTCACATTTAACAGGAATGAGTCATCTCCACTTTGGGTTTACTTTTATTAAGTACTGACTTCTCAAACAAAATTTATCCTATTTTTAAAGAGGTTACTTTAAGAATTCATAATTGTTATGCAGTTAAATAAAAGTGTCATACCTAAAATGAAAGATAACAAATTACTTGTTTACATAGTCAGGCTTTCCATTAAAAATACAGAGCCTAAATTCAGTGTAAAATTATCTTGAAATAAAAACAAAATACTTACCTTCCCATTCTGGTGGAAAGTCACCAATTTGATACTGATACGCTTCACGATTTACTGCTTCTACAAATCTTCTTTCTGGTATAATCTGCCCTATAGCAGAAAAAATAAATAAAGAAAAAATATATATTTATATTACAGATTTCATATATAATTTTACATATTTATATATTAATACATAATATATAATACATAAATATGTAATTATGCTTATAATATATATATATACTATGTATTATATATTTCCCTATAAATTTGTAATTGCTGATCACCTTATCATTTTGAAAGAAACACATTTATTCACGAGTGCAATGACACACAGGATGAAAACAAAAGATAAAATACTGAGGAAATTATTATCATCTAGATGACAATCTGAAACGTTATATTTCAGTAACTTCAAGAAAAGCTTCCATGTTTTATTTCCAAGTTGACTTGTATTATTGATGACAAAAAACAGCACTCAAAGCTCACTGGTTAGGTTTGCAAAGCAGCCACATAATCTCCAATCATTAGCAACTGCCTTGTGCTTGTGAGATTTTTTACAACTGCATTTTTTTTGTTAAAAACCAAAAACCAGTAGGTAAGAATCTGATAGGGAATATTCAATATATTAAAAGGGGAGGCAGTGTGGTGAACCTGAATCTACATCCCACATTCCGATTCTATTATTGCCAAAGAAGAATTAAAAAGTTCAAACAGTAATGCGGTACACAGCAGATTGACTGCCAGATATTATGGAGAAAGAGTATTTTAATTTGCTTTTAAAATTATCAGGTACTGGAAATATATGCAAGGTTCCCATCCCTCATAGAGAAAAAGCTAACAGTATTCCCTAGGGACTTTCTACCAGCCTTTTCTCTTCCTGGGGTGCTGATACGGAGAAATTCGACATTTTGAGGAAACATGAAGTACATCTGCATAAAATATTTTATTTCATAATGAAGTGATTAATGCAGTTCATTCCTTCACTATGCTTTCAACACGTATTTCAAATGAACTTATTTTAAAACTGATACCAGTTGGGACTTGGAACCATTAGTAGCTAAACTCCACACTTTTATTCATCATTAAGTATTTAATACAGTAAAATAAGAACTTGTATATAAGCTGAAATTCCTTCTCTAAGATTCTTCTTCAGCTTTGTATTTTATTTTTAAGCAATGCAATATTTTTATTCTTTCAAGATGTGCCATCAGGCAAAGAATATTGTGTAAAATGCTTTCATCTTAAAATTAGGTATTTTTAATCAGTTTTGAAAGTTATATGATTGATACTTATTTGTTTTATAAGTATACAATTCTTATAGGTTGATGAAATTGTACTTTGTACCTTGCTGTAACATGATCTTTTTTCAACAATACCATGGAAGATTTAATTTTTTACACTGTTTATCTACAAAGCAAAACAAAACTACAGAACTAATTTCTTCCCATAAAGAATATTTCCAGAAAAGCCGAAGAGGTATCCAATTAGGGCTGATCCTATACAAGTCTCAGAAAAAAACCACTCTTCTCCAGTCTTGCAAAGTTACTAGACTTTACTGTTAGAACAGCACCTTTTAAAAAACTGTCCATAATTTAAGTATTATACCATCTGAACAAATCACCATTAGAAAGAATAGTGAAGAACTGTTTTCCTAACCGCCACTGCCACCACAACTTGTGACTGGTATTATTTAACAAAATATTCCACTTCTTATTCTGCTGCAAGCTTTCATTAAAACTCACATAAAAATTCATCCTCCAGATCCCACAGTCAAATCACACTGTAGAGCCAAACTCAGAAACTATGTCCCAAATGTGTTCTTTTGAATACTGCTGGTGGCTTTTAAGTCTTTCTGCTTTTGTGGTGCACACATGACACTAATTAACTTCAACTGCCTGATTTGCCTTGTCCCCTAGGCTTTTTTTGGCAGGCAGACCACCACTGACAAATAATTTACATAGGCTTTTGCAGGGAAGATCACATTGAGACCTCTTTAGATGTAATTAAAACATTTTACAGTTTAGGGAAGGGTTTTTTCATACTAAAGATTGACATTATTCACTGTTTTGCTTCCTATTAATTAATTCCCATATTTTCAAACAAATACTTGGATCTTTTCTACAGCAATGCAAGAAACTTCTCTTGTAAGGGCACACATATGAAGCAATTAAAAATAGCACAAATACAACAGTTTTAACTTCAAAATTACCCTCATTTTCATGTGACCACTGGATGTTAGAAACACTGAAGAACTATTAATGCTTCAAACTGGGATTATACACATAATAGAATAAACCCAATTGTGTCTTAAAACAAAAAGCAGGTCCCTTCAGGAAGAATTTACCAGAAGTACAGAATATTCACATAGAATATCAGATCCAACATCCTTTACACTGAACAGCAAAGTAGCCAAGATTTGCAGTTCAAGCAAGAAAAAGGGCCAAGAAGCCCAAGTAATTTACAGATCTTTCAGCAAGTGATACAGTATTTACATATGTTACATTCATATACTTTTTTACTTCATATATTTTCTCTAAACCTTTCAGTCCTCCTCTATCGAAAAACCAACGCGTCATGACTGAAGTGAATTTGTATAAAACCCGCAAAACAAAAGTGTTCAGCAGAAGCTTTATGGCCTGCTGGCATAAGAAGCGGATAGTCAAAGCCAGCAAAGAAAATACTCAGTGAAACATAAAGGCATAGCCTGCCTTATCTATAGACTAAGGAGCCTAGAAACCGAGTTATATTTTCACAACACTACCCATGGTTAACAATAGATATGCATAGATGTTTTCAAATTAATATTTCAGTTTTTCACTAATTTCTAAGGAAGAGTCTTTCTACAGGCAAAATATCCTTATTAATCCACTGCACTCACTAAATATTATTTATATGTATTTACATTTAGAAAAAACCTTTGAAGAACCTTCCAGGTGAAAATAAAGAATGAATCCCAAAATAGTGGTGTTCTATAACCAAATTATTACTATTCTGATGACAATGTCAAAAAACCCCACAAGTATACACTCTATTCTAAAGATCTTCAGCAGTCCTAGATTGATTTTCACTGTTTATAAAACAATCATTTGAAAAATTTTTCCTGCTAACACTCAAACAAGTTTGTACAATGTATACAGCTAAACAAAGTATGGCACACATAATCAGTGAGAGCAGAAACGGGAATAGCAACAGGGAACTGGATATTTCTGATACCTGAACTGAGCTACCTGAACAAGAGCCCCTGCCAGATATAAAATATCGGCATTGTATGGAAATAGGATCTCCCTCTCACACACTACTATGTGACGGTAAGAATTCTCATTCAAACTGAATAAATATCGGATGTTCACAAGAACTCCAGACCAGGACTCTTTTGGCTTTCTGATTTGCAATGCCTGCATGCTAAGAGTCCATGGAAGAAACATTGCACTAAGATTTTTTTTTTTAAATATGCAGACTGAATATGCAGCCATTGAGAATTTAAGACAAATAGCCTAAATACCAGTTTGCACAGCAGTGCTCTAAGCTTCATGAAAGAAGCATTTTTAAAGCATACCTTTTTACTGTAGTGCTATGTACTTTGAAAAGATTAAATTGTACTTCATTCACTAACAGCCTATTATTTCCTTGCCAGCAACTCAACATAAGCTTCATCTACTCAAAACAAAGGTTTTAAAAAATTTTTTCAGCGGTATCTTACAACACTCAAGGAACAGGTCACCCATTTCTTTCCTGTTAGGCAACCACCAAATAAACTGCAGTTTTTGCTCAATATGAAGCAGTACTTAAATTATCAAAGCAACTGAACTATGAGCAGTTCTTCATACAAGGCAGAGGAAGAACTACTTTTCTAGAAGTAACAAATGTAGATTTACGTATCCATAGGCTGTGGGAGCAGCCCACCACTGTCAGAGCAAGATCAAGAGTTTTCATCTCCACTGAAGAAAGGAAAAAATTTGTTGTAAAAGATAACCCTTTAAAGGTGAGTATTAATTTGTAAAAGCCACTATCTTCCCTTTGCATAGATTCTTAGCTGAGGGAGTCTGTTCACTGATGACTGTCTTCATACTACCTCATGCTCATAATTCTAGTGATTCTGCAATAATCATCTTCATCTTAGGAAAGACAAATATTTTAAAATAGTATCTTTTTCCCAAAGAATTATGCTTTTTCCCCCCAAATCTAGATTTATTTGAGGTTAATTAACTTTTGCTATGTGACAAATCAGTAACTTCCAACAGTTCAGAACATTCATTCGTACAATAAATACAGTATTCTGAAATACAAAAACTTTAAGTATTTGCACCTAACATTTCTCAATTACAGACGTTATTATTTCTCCAATAATTAACAAACTTGAAATCATCTAAAATGCTTTATGTTTTATAAAATCATAACAGAAACACATTTCAACTTTTAAGCAGCAGCAAGGCCACAGATGTTCAATGGTTCTGATTTCCATTAACCTGAAATGAACCAATTTCCAGTTTTACAGCAAACTTATTTCCAAACTGATTTCCAGTTTTAAAGCAATGCAATCAAGCAATATTAAACTTGTTAAGTGCTGGCTCAGCAAGTCCAAAAAAGCTGTAAGTACCAGGCACTCATGGTCAAAAATCGTGTTACAATTTTGCTATTTCTATTCACATTTTAACAGCAATACATTTGGCTTTCCAGAGCTGTCTGCAAGTACTAATTTCTTCCCAAAGGAAGATACGTTTCTTCAGACTTCTACTGAAAGTTTGAAGCCAGGTAAATTGCTTCCTTTTTTGGGAACATATATTGTCAAAGAAAAAGACTCACATACACTACAAACATCACTGTCCCTTTTGGCTTCCCAAAAGAATTACCAGCTGACAAAGTCAGTAACTTCCTCTGCGATCAGTGCCTATGGAATTTATATATGTTCACATAAATCTTATGCTTAGAAAACCTGCTGTATCTTAAACTCTGGCAGTTAAATAAAGTAACATTTGTTCAAGGAACAAATGCCTTCAAGGGACAGACAAATCCCTCTGCTAAATATCCCCTGCCACTGTAGCCCCTGAGCTCCCTTAATCTGGCAGCAGGATGCAGCATCACCAGTTCCCACTCCCTGCTCACTG